ATAACCTTAAAAAACGAGCCAGAAGGCTCGAATAATCGTACCTCCTCTTCCTAAATTGTTCATTTCTGTAGACAATCTGAGCGTCAATTAGAGAGACATTACTCTATCACCAGATATACGTAACGGATCGCTTACAACCCCTTTCCTCCTTTTGTTTTTTTTTTTTTTTAGAGAACGTTCGCGGTGTATCGATGTAAGACGATTTTGTCGCGATGTTTCGAACAGCGATTCTTACCAAAATGTAAAATAACGGTGTTGTACCTTCGTTATAATTTTAGATTAGATTTCATTATAATTTCCAAGATTCTTTTGAGCACAAGGCAAATAAAATTATTTTCTTATAGTTATTATATTTACTGAACTTATGATATTTCGAGTTTCGAACAACAATTCTTACCAAAATGTAAAATAACGATGTTGCACCTTCGTTATAATTTTAGATTAGATTTCATTATAATTTTCAAGATTTTTTTGAGCACAAGGCAAATAAAATGATTTTCTTATAGTTATTATATTTACTAGACTTATGATGTTTCGAGTTTCGAACTGCGATTCTTACCAAAATGTAAAATAACGGTGTTGCACCTTCGTTATAATTTTAGGTTAGATTTCATTATAATTTTCTAGATTCTTTTGAGCAGAAGGCAAATCAAATTATTTTCTTATAGTTACTATATTTACTGGACTTATGATGTTTCGAGTTTCGAACAGCGATTCTTACCAAAATGTAAAATAACGGTATTATAACTTTGTTATAATTTTAATTAGATTTCATTATAATTTTCTCGATTCTCTCGAGCACATGGCAATAACCGGCATTATTTTCTTATCGTTATTATATTTACTGGACTTATGACTTGTCTTATAAAAGCCTGGTTAAATAACAAAAGCCTCAAGACTCATCACTTTAATCTTTAATAACTCCTATCCGAACGGGATACCGAAATAACACCGGTATTTATTTCGGTTTTCAGTAGTACAGTAAATTCTCCCTAATTGACGCTCAGATTGTGCAGAGAAATGGACAATTTGGAAAGAGGAGACACGATTTTTCGAGTCTTGAGGCACATTTGTATAGTTGCCGATTGTCAACAATTATAAAAACAAGATGCAAGGCTCAAATAATCGCATCTCCTGTTCCCAAATTGTCCTTTTCTGTGTACAATCTGAGTGTCAATTAGAGAAACATTACTATACATCGGTTTCGGTATCATAAAACTATTGGTACATATTTCGGTATTATATCGGTCACGATATATAGCTTTGCTGGAATAATGCCTGTATCAAAACCATACCGGTATAAAGTCCCTGATTTCGACCCCCGTATCACTTCAACCCTTAGTTCCTCCTTCTCGAGTAATTTTCAGCATTGCGCGGACCTTGACGCAACGATTCGCAGTGCACGCATCGCGACAAAGTAAATCAAGGCGAACGCCTCGAAAAACCGAAAGTAATCGTGGAAACGTGTTGCGCGCGAAGGGTCAACGACGCAATTGATACCGATAATTAACAATGTAATGAACCGGACGCCGCGCCGGCGGGTTCGGAGGCCGCGGAAGACCATTTGTAAGTAGATTATCGGTAATTAATGTGGAATCGGCGCCGCTTTCGTTGCCGCGGGGGGTCGAAATAACCGGGCCGATGCGCCGCCGCTCGGATTTATCTTGATCCCGAAAACGTTGTTATTGTCGGGAATAAGTTTCGCCGGATTCCATACGGCCGCGCACGGTTGAAAGGCTGCAGAGCGTTCGGCGCGGGCATTCCGATGTCGCGTTTTCAACGGATATTGGCAACACGGGGTCGAAAGGAACGGCACTCGGCTCGGCTCCTCTTTCCTTCGGAGAAGAAACGAGCAAGTCCGCCAATGGTTTCGAGTCGGCGCAACGCGGACGACTCCCGTCGACGTCGACGACGACGACAACAACGTCGACGACGACAAAGTGCGAGCCGTTGTAATGAGTTTCCTCGAAGCCCCTCTATTTCCAAGATTACATCGAACGACAGCCACGGTTGGATTCGTTGCACGCGCCGGTTTTTCTTCGTTTTCCTGCCTCGCGTCCGTCCCCAGATGTAAATAAGGAAGCGCGTTATGACGCAACCGAGCTAATTGCACGTTACGATAACAGCCGCAGGAAAATGCGTGTAACGGGACTCTGATTTCGAGGGCCCCGAGTCGCGCAGGTTCTCCGCGAATCGGGGATCGTTCTGGGAAACTTCGTCGGTCGACGAACTCCGCGTCTCAATCCCCGAGGATGCTGTTAACGTAATATTCTTTGTGATTCGGCGGTGAAATGTTCAAATCGTCAACGCTGTTGCGCGAGAAATGTATTCAGGGCTCTCGATCCACCGTCGACTCGTCCCTCCTTTTTCGCAGAGTTATTGTGCACTCGCCTGTACTTCCGCGACGGAGAGCGTTTGATCGAGCATATCGAACAATTCGCACCATCCCTGCTCCAAATGTATTAGACCGAGCTTACAATAATCTCTAAATTATATGTAAACGACGCTCGGTTAATTAATTGAAAGTAAAAGCACGCGCATCGTCGCATAATTCCGTCTTAAATCCGGAGAACATTGGGTTCGCGACAGCTTCGAAAAATCCAGCTGAAACGCAGACACCCGTTAGAGGGGGGAGAGGGGGCGCGGACCCGTGTGGGTTGTTCAGAGGCCAATTAACGTAGTTATCAGGAGCAGAGTTGAAGAACACCGAAGGTTTCATTACGATTACGACGCGAAGGTAACGAGCTAGCCTCTATCAATCATATCGGAGTTGCTCGTACGCCGACGAATTTCTATCCGAGCGCGATTATTGCTAATTAAAAAGTTTCACTTTACGGCGCTAATTTCGATCGTTTAACGAACGAACGAGGCTGATTTAATAATTGTGCGCGCGTTGTGTAAGCGAGAGAGCTGCCGCGACGCGACGCGAAGCCGCGGGGAAGGGGCGACAGGGGGGGAAGAGGACGAGTCGAAAGCGTCGATTCACCGAGGGACACCCGTTAGAGCGGCTTCGATTCTTCTTCCGGCGTTCGGTACGCCGCCGGAGCGAAAGCGAAATCGGCAGTAACGTAACTTTTAATGTATGCCCGACGCGGCACCCGAGAAATGCAGATTTCGAAGATACAATTCGCTTTTCCTGGTGCGCCACGCGTAGAAAGCGACATCGCGGCAGATCGCTCGGATGTTCTTCCCTAAACTGATAAACAAGAAGTGGCACCGGCGTATTCGTGCAATTACCGGCGCTTAAACATACGATCGGGTTCGCGTTTACGCCGGGTAATAACAGCTTTTGGTAATGATGCTGTAAATGCAGTGAACCCGCGTTGTCCCGTTCGAACGTGAACGGCTTGGATTTTGTGCCCGATAGTTCTGGGATACTTTCGTTTTTCCGATACGACTGGCTGCAAAATGTTCAACGAACGTTTTCCGGAACGGGAGTTTTCTAATCGTTCTTTCGAAGTCGAGCATCAAGGGAACTTCTTAAGAACTGTTCAAAAACGACGACAATTGCGATCACAGAGTGTAACAAATCATTTGGATTCACGTGAGAGAACTACTTCTTCTGAAATTATTACTTAAAAGTAATTTCGAGTGTCAGATTTCTATTAAGTGAAACGACAATTGTCGTCTCAAATGTATTAGCTTGGGGAATAAGTTCGTAGCGTTTTTATATTTTCTTTTATTTTACAACGATTTTTTGCTGTTTGTCAAAATGTATAATATTCATTCGATAGAGCTCTTTCTGCTCTACGAAACTGTGCTAATCGTCTTTTTGAGCAATTTAATTTTTTGTTACTTTCGAGGCTTAGAAATGGAATATTCAGGAGGTAAAAAGCAACACTTTCGACACCTTCTCTTCTTCGCTCTTCATCGAGGCCAAAAAGCTGCCGAAGCAGCCCGGGACATTTGCAACGCATACGGAGAAGGTGTCATAGGCGAGTCTACAGCACGGAAATGGTTTGCGAAGTTTAAAAATTGCGATTTTGACGTCGACGACACGCCCCGCAGCGGAAGACCTTCTGAATTCGACGAAGAGCGTCTCAAAGCACTTTCGAAGGAGGACGGTCACCAAACACATCGTGAATTGACCGAAAAAATGAACTGCGATCATAAAACGATTCTCAATCATCTTTATTCAATGGGATTTGCCGAAAAATTGGGAGCCTGGGTGCCTCATGAGCTTAACGAAAACAACAAAGAAAATCGCCTTGAAATAAAAACGCTACGAACTTATTCCCCAACTCAATAGAAGAACGATTAATTCATGTTACTTCGGACGATACACAGGTTCGAACCAGAGCGCCATCTACGTGCACGATCAATTAGCGCGGCGATCCAAACATTCGAATTTTTGTAACATTAAAATATAAGCGGAAAAGAAGCCCGTACAATTGTTCGCCTCACCTCGGTCACCGAAGTTTCGAAGCTCCCATTCATCGGCGACGATATCTCACAGATAATTCGATGCATCGATGATATCTTCAAGATATCTCGGTGTCATTGATATTCCACGGAAACGTAACCGACAGTCGCGCCTCTAGTCCGGTCGAAGCAACTCCGAAACTGATCCGCAACCGAAGCAAACGCTACTTTTCCGAGCCCGCTCGAATTCCTAATCAGCGAAGTAACCAGAGTTCGTACTTACGCGCCCGAAGTAGGTATCCGTCGGAGAAACGTAGTCGTCCTCGGAGCTGTCGGTGTTCGGACACCCGTTATATGGTGGTGTAGTAAGGGGAGGCGGGCCAGGTGGTCCGTCGGTGCGAATATCCATTATAGATTCGGCGGAGTGTAGCTGTCGTACGACCCTACTCATTTTCCGTGTATTCGTGCGCGGCGTATTTCTGGCATCGACTAGGGAGAGCGAGCGAGACGCACCGGCTCTGTATAGAGAGAACGAGGTCCGTGGTCGGCTCCGCAGTGTTGGTGAGTGTCGCGCGCGTGTTGGTTCCCGGAAAGGCGCGTTTAGTTCGCGAGGGCGCCTGTGTCGGGTCTCGCGGCGCCACCGGTTCATTCCGCCATCGGCGCCCGCGACGTACGGACGTGTAGAGACGCGATCGCGATACCCGTTCTGGGCGGACAACGTGAAAAACCGGAGGAAACTCAACGGATCTCGTCGACGAGCCGACGACAGTATCACCGTCGCCGGGACGGAGTGGCGCGCGGCTCGTAGTCGTACGGGAGACGGTAGACGGTCGCGGTCACTGACAGAATACCTCGAGATACGAAAAAAACAGGAAAAAGGGTGCGCGGTGCGCGGTTCGCGGGTTCCGCAGGATCGTGTGAAAACAGTGCGCGACGACACATACCGCAGAGAGCGGGAGAGGACCCGGGAGAAAACGAACGAGACCGGGACGCAGAGGGAGAGAGAGCGAGAGAAAGAGAGAGAGAGAGACTGTGAGACGAAGAGAGACAGAGTGAGAGAGCGAGAGAGAGAGAGAGAAAGCGAAAGACAGAGAGATAAAGAGAGAGAAGAAAAGAGAGATCGCCGATTGTCCTTTGTGCGATCGTCTGGTTTAACGACTGGGCTTCTCGTTCCTCGGGACGCCACCGCGACGTGTCGTGCCGGGGCACAGGAAACCAGCGGAGAGAGCAGCAGTCTCGTAGTTGTCTCGTCTCGTCGCGCGTCGCGTCGCGTCGCGTTCGAGAGGGCCCCGATTCTAACGTCGTGTTATATACCTGCTCGTCCCTCTCACAAAGTGCGGGCCCCGAAGGTCTTGGGCTCCGAAGGTCTCTCCCCTCGGCCTCGTGCCTAAGAAGACAGACGTGGAATGATACTTCGTCGGGACGGAGGTGTGCTGTGCCCAGGCTCGTCAGGCGCGACGTGACACGCGAGACTCGATCTCGGATCGGAACGGGGACGGATAATCGACCTATCGATTATCGTATACATATTTTTTTCTTTCGATCGAGAAGAACCGGCGTGTAATCGTGTAGACGGTATAAACGGCGATCTCTTTGGTGAAGTTCGCTCGGTAAAACGGCACGTACACCGTCGTCGATCCTCGTCGCAAGTGCGGAAACAAGAAGGATCCTTGAGGTTCGAGATATTGTGACACGGTTGTGCTTCGATGGATAAAGAAGTCGCTCGATCGTAAACCGATATAGGTGAGATCGGCGTATACAAGTCGCGCTAGTGCCTCGTTTCTTTTTTTTCTCCTTCTTCCTTTTTTTTTCTTTCCTTTTTTTCTTCGTCTTCGTCTTCTTCGCGAGACACGCGTATCCATATACATAGTACACATACGTACATACAACTATATATGTATATATAGATATATACATATATATATTTATATAAGTACGTATTTATGTACGTTTTGTGTTTATCTTGTTAATCGAGTACGATCTAAAAAGTGCAAGCAAGATAAGCCGCAGGCGTAAACGCACGAGGAGCAGCCGAGAGCCGTTTTAGGTGAGTTAAAACATTATTTTCTTCTCGATTCTTTTTTGGATATTTTCGCTGTTGGCCATCGGCGTAACGGTTACACGCAGCTTTCTCGTTGTATACCTGGCCCCTCGGTAGATCCATTGTCCTGTCGCGATGCTCGATCGGTGTGTCCCCCCCGACGGACCGACGAACCTTTCGACCGACCAACGAAAGAATCCGCGACGATGACGCGCCGACCGACCGAGCGGACACGCTCGCTAACGCAGTAACGTGACATCTTTCGAAACATTCGAGCCTCGCGATAAATTGCGATCCGAGCGAATGGAGCACACCGGGGGGACCTCGTGCACACGTTCACCACCCGTTCGCCGTTCGATATTTGTTCGAATGCCATTTTTGTTTCTTACAATTACACGAACGACGCCGCGACGAAATGTTATGTAACATGTTGGATCGCGCGAAATTGTCAGGCGTACCGCGCGCTCACCCATGACCTAGAGGTGCAACTGCAGTCATAATATTGTGTTTGGAATTTTGCAGCGTTCAATTTTCGGTAGGCGGAGCGTATAGCTGGGACGCTTCGATCGAATTTTATCGCTTTTTTTTTCTTTTTTATTTCATTGTTGCGTGTTCGCAGCAGTGATATTTACGCTTCGGAGTTCGTTGATTGCGGATTCCACGGTGTTGCTCAGGAATGTTGGTTAAACAGTCGATGACGCTGCGCGGTAACCAAGCACGGCGTCGAACATTTTCACCTAATTCCGAGACCCTCTGCGCGAGAAAAATTGTGTCACTGCGGGACGGAGTCGTAGCGAAGTTCGATTCGAGAAATAATTGTTCATATTTCTTTTTATGAAAGAAATGTTTACATTCGTGGTGGCACGATAGCGAAGGAATTGTACGCTTCAGAGTGAACATTCTGTACACGCACGTTTGTTTACCGTGATTTAATACAACGCGTCTGCACACGGCTGTTTGTCGGTTTGCCACGGTAAGAGTAAAAATAGCGACGTTTTCGCGCAATTATTTGCGACTTTAAGTCGGTTCTCCCATATTAACTCCATTCGTCAAATCGCTAATGTTATTTCGATCGAGTTTTATTTTGTCGACTGTTGCTTGTCGATCACCGGCGACCAGGGCAGACTCGCCGTGACAAGTAATTGAAAATTGCGGAAAATTCTGATTCCATGAATGGCACACCATTCCGCGATTCTTCATTACGAACAGACTGCGAAACTTTGCGCACAGATAAAAATCGTTCGAATCGTTAGAAATTATCTTATCGATTTGTAACAAATTAGAATATTCTTTTTCTAATATTCCACGGTTTAACTGTGCGAGCAATAAGCAACAACTAATTCTCAATATTTATGTTAGACGTTTATCTACGAGCGAGCCAACTGCAGTAAATTCTCCCTAACTGACGCTCAGATTGTGCACAAAAGTTGACAATTTGAGAGGAGGAGACACGATCATTCGAGCTTCGCGGCTCGTTTTTATAGTTGTTGATAATTCGTAACTATAAAAAGGAGTCGTAAGGCTCGAACAATCGTATCTCCTTTTCCAAAATTGTCCACTTTTGCGCACAATCTGAGCGTCAGTTAGGGAGACATTACTGTATACCGAAATTGTTGCTTAAAACTCGATTCAAATCGAAAAAGTTGTCTCGATTAAGAATTAACGTGCCTGCGTTACAACGACCTACACAAATGGTCAAAAATTAACTGATAAAATATCGAAACTTTCGCTGGACTAAACGCAAGAATCAACTGCGAAACAAAAGAAACGAATACAAAATTATTCTATTAAAATCAACGCGAATAGCGCGCGTTCATTCGAAGCAGCACAGCGCATGGCGCGAGGTTCGTACCAGCAATTTCCCTTTGCAAAACATTTTTCCGCGTTGCACAAACTTTGGGTAGGGACTAGAAGGGGGGGGGAAGGGGATGAGATACATTGCATACAAAAGAGATGCCGCGAACCGATGAAAACTGTTACCGAAACAGATGGCGACGATCGTCGAAAAAAAGGAAGGCAAACCAGGGGCGGAGAAATGAGCCGAGCGAATTCTGGGGGTGACTCCGGGTCCAGAAAATTATCGACATTCTAGTCGTGTTCCGAACGACTGTCGTTCAAGCCCCCGGTCTTCCACAGAGAGTCCGCCGCGTGTGCGCGAGCCTCGGCCTCTCGTCGAATGTGTAAATGGCGGTGGCAAGGGAAACGCGCGGGTCTTCCGGGCGGCCGGTGATCGTTTGAAACCGTGCAACGCTCAAGAACGTTCCACGGTGACGCAATTTTCGTGCAGGTGCAATTACGCGCGCGGTCGCGGGGCACGTCAGCAAAATCGAGAGCCGTCGTAACGGGTCTTCGTTTGGTTTCGCGGGCGCAAACGCCGCCGTTTTACCGTTAACGACCTAAATCGACGCGCCGGAGGAGCGAGATGCGCGCTCTTTCGCGAGTTCCCGCTGAGAGAGAGAGAGAGAGAGAGAGAGAGAGAGCCAGAGAGGCCGAGATCGTGTCGAGTGCCGCGGACTGGAGCGAGAGAGAGAGAGAGAGGCGGCTGCGATGCGCGACCGAGTTCGTAGTTGGCAGAAGTCTTTTCGACCGTTTCATTCGATGACTTCAGAGCCGGCTCGAGAAGCATCGGGTAGCTCGGATGATCTTTCACGGCGAATGCGCGTCCGCGAAAACGCGGAACGCGTTCTAATAGCGTCGACGCTGCGACCTGCCATTGGCGTAGGCATCGAACTCGAAGCCTCTGGCCGCGAGCTGCTCCGAATCCTCTCCCGAACGTTCTCTCGGCCGTTCTGCTCGGCTAGACTGCCTATTCGATCGTTTCGCTTTGACACACGGTTGTTCGAACATTTCCGGGAAGTGTCTTAAGTTTTCGAGCTAGATGTTAGATGTATCATTCGCGACAGACACCGATCGAGGCGTTTGATTGCTTGGAATCCTTCGGCGAACGTTCCCTCGGCCAAGACTGCACATTCGATCGTTTTGATTCGAAACACGGTTGTTCAAACATTCGTGGAAAGGGCCTTACGTTTTGCAGGTCGATTCACCTAGAATCCCCTCGGGTCTCGGCTGGGATCCTGTTCAGAACGTTTCTTCCAACGTATCTGATCGACTAGGCTGTGTATTCGATCGTTTTCCGCCGAAACTCCGTTGCTCGAACACTGGAGAAACTGTCTTAACTTTTCGATGCTAAATGGTAAGATGTATCATTCACGCAGACATTGAACTTCCAAGGTTTTCAGAGCTTCCTGGGTTAAGAGTCTCTTGGGAACGCTTCTGCCAATGGCCGTACAACCAATCAGGCTGTACGTTTAAACGTTGTACATATTCTGAAATACAACTGTTTTATCGTTTGAGTCCCAAGCAGCGCGATCGCGCTGTTGAGATTTTATGTCGAGAAAACCCAGCACATTTCGAACATTGTGGACAACCGACGATGCGTTACCGATTGTCGAAGCGCGCTCAGATTTACCGAAGCAAGTACATCACGCAGCTCCTTTTAATGTAAATAGTACATTTTACAATGGGTAGAATAAAATACTACAATAATGCAATAATACATTACAAAATACAAATTTTTAATTCATTATTATCGCGCCGCTTGGTATTTCTCGACATAAAATAAAACAAGCGCTATATCGCGCTGCTTGGGTCTTTTCGTACGCATTTAGAGAAAGCGCGGTTGCGCTGTTTGCGATTTTTCGACAGTGTTTTTTTAATACCCCCTGGGACTCAAACGGTTAAACGTTCGTCAAGATTGTCTTGGAACTAGGTGGTTGATCTAAGAGGTTGCATGAACTCGTGTACAGCTAATCCAGAATTAACACGTTCGTTAACAGCGTCGCACGCGTGCGACGACCACGATTTTGCATTTCGTGCGAAGAACGTCAAATTAATTCGGTGAATATAATTATTTAAATTTAGCGCGATATTTTGAGAATCTGTAGCATCCCTTTGACGACATTTTTCTTATATTTTCGAAGAGGATGCGATGTATTTAATACGATAAATATTGTAGATATAAGAGTAGAGTAAATTCTCCCTAATTTGCCTTCAGCTTGCAAACAAAAATGGACAATTTGGGAATAGCAGATACGACTGTTCGAGTCTCGCAGCACAATCGGAGTAAATTTTACCTAATTTACCTTTAGTTTGCAAGCAAAAGTGGACAATTTGGGAATAGGAGATACAACTGTTCGAATCTCGCAGCTCATTCTGAGTAAATTCTCCCTAATTTACCTTCGGCTTGCAAACAAAAATGGACAATTTGGAAATAGGAGATACGACTGTTCGAGTCTCGCAGCTCATTCTGAGTAAATTCTCCCTAATTTACCTTCGGCTTGCAAACAAAAATGGACAATTTGGAAATAGGAGATACGACTGTTCGAGTCTCGCAGCTCATTCTGAGTAAATTCTCCCTAATTTACCTTCGGCTTGCAAACAAAAATGGACAATTTGGGAATAGGAGATACGACTGTTCGCGCCTCGCGGCTCATTTTTAGAGTTGCCGATTGTCAACGATTATAAATGGTGCGAGGCTCGTATAATCGTATCTCCTCTTCCCAAATTGTCCATTTTTGTTTACAAGCTGCAGGAAAATTAGGGAGCTGCTAGCGAACGTGTTAAGAAAGCCGGAATATTTCGAAAGAATCAAACGAACCAGCCGCCAGCCGATGATTCAAATTCGCCGAGAACTGTAGCCGAAGAAAGGCGTTAAAACGCGATAATTGGAGCAGGGTGTATCTAAACGGAGTTAGGGCAAGGTGTCTAACCGCACCGCGATGCACCGTGGGAAATGGGGTGGCTCGGAGGGTTGAAATTCGCGAGCAACAGCGACCGGCCTGCTGTTCCGGCCGTGTTCCGTGCCTTTCGAGGCGGAGAGCTCGCCGCGTTGGGAAGACGCGAGGAATCTCGAACATCGAACGGTTCGTGCGTATCTTTATCGGCGATAGGTGACCGTGTGTGCCGAGGGGGCGGGGAGGGTGGAGGATCGGTCAAACGATAACGCA